AGATCAGTGCCACTCTGTTCTCTCTCTCTCTCTCTCTCTCTCTCTCTCTCTCTCTGCTGCATTATAAATAGCAGCGAATGGAGCAGAAAACCACAGCATCTCACATTTGGGCAGAAGAGGATACGAGTGTCTTTGATAAGCCAAGGATGACTTGCCTAGAGTCTCTTCGTGAATCCCAAACACATCATTAGATCGTTGAGTTTGCAGTAGGCAGTCTCCTTGGCTACTCTAAGAGGCTCGTATCCAGACGCAGGACTGTTCTACCTTCTCTCTCACGGCTGTCGTCATGGAGAAGACGAAGACGAAGAAGAGGAAGCACGTGGAGCACTGCTCATCGCAACCAACGTTTATTTGTGTCTCCTTCTGATTCGGTGCATGATTAATCCATTTGATATTTGGTGATAATGCATCGATTGATATATGCACACATCCATAGATTAACTCATCTCCGATCCCAAATCGAGTCCAACATACGAATTGGGCTCGAGTTAAATTAACTAATCTTTTGATACACACACACACACACACACACACACACTCACACACACACACACACACACACACACATATATATATATATATATATATATATATATATATATATATATATATATATATTCTGATTAATATTTAGAGTTCCTAATTAATGATTGGTGTTGAAAAAAATGATTTAAAAATACTATTTTGAAATTTCGATTTATCATTTATATAAGGAGAAAGTGGAATTTGTGAAAAGAGGAAAAAAAAAAAAAAAAAGGCATTTTTGAAAGTCATGGAGGCCTTATTATGAGCGGTAGTACGTGGCTACGGCTCTCTGTTGAGGTCTTCCGAGACCCTACGGAACCCTAGCCATGGCGAAGCCTAGATCGGGATCCCTCGTCCTCCTCCTCCTCCTCCTCGCGGCTCTTGTCCTCGCCGCCTCTCCGGCGGCGATGGCGACCTCCGATGCCCCCTTCATGGTTGCGCACAAGAAGGTGAGCCTCACGCGGCATAAATCTGGCGTGGACCGAGTCTCCGTCTCGATTGACCTCTACAACCAAGGATCCTCGTGAGTAACCCCAGAGATCTACGGTTTCCTGTTCTTTCTCGAATTCTGTTGCGCCTTTTAATCGTCTGATATGTTAGGATTTATGCTTGTCGTATCAGATCCAAGAAAGCGGTGATCCTTTTTTATCTTGGCTATTGTATTTCTTCCATATACACTGATTTTGTTTATAAATGTTTGTACAGATGTACTTGATATGTTTAATTTTGCTGTAGATTGGTATGCTTGGATCTGGTTTTGGCTTATGCTCGATTATGTAGCGTACTGTGGCTTCTAGATTCTGTTCCGGGTCTAAAATGATTGATCGAATGATTTGCTATCCGATGGGGTTGGATGCGTGAAATAACCTCTCTGGTGTGAGTGTGAACCTGTGAGTGATGCCTTCATTATTGATCCTGAGATATCAAATACTTAGTTATTATGTAATATACTATATCAATAGTGGTCAGCTGTAAAAATTTGATTGGTCTTTCCTTATATTAAATAAGGTCCGTAGCGTAGTGGCAAGGGTGAACATTCTAGGATTACAAGCTAGTGGTGTCACCTGTTTTATTGGTGGTGACTTTTTTGTTTATTTTACTTAGTTTCCTTTTTTTTTTTCTTTGCATACTAGGTATATAAAATGCATCAACCTTCATTCTCTAACTTCTTTTACTCGTTCCAATGCAAATTTATCACATTCATTTCGTAATTTTTGCAGAACTTGCTGATCTTTTTAAATTTCCTGAATTCTGCTTTTGACTGATGATAATCCAGTCCGAAATGAAAAATGTGATATTTATTGTCACTAGGTTAGCTATTGGATTGTCCAAATTTTCTTAGTTGGTCTTGTATCTTTTTTAATAAGTATTATGAAGACATATATGTGTTTGTTTCCAATAGGTTATTGTTGTGGCCTTGGTATTATTAAGAACGCTGACAGTAGTAACGTTAGCAAGAAATCTTCTTCTATATGAGTTAATCACTAAATGAGTATGATGAATAGAGTGTTTGATATTAATTGGATATTCTGAAGGCAAAGGATAAAAAAATATTAATAAGGGTGAAAGTGGCCACATCAAATACGATCTTATTTTTACATCATCGATGTACAAGACAATTCCCTCAACAGCTGATATTTCCTTGTTGATCACTGGTGCCTGATAAATTTAGGAACACGGGGAACAAGTCAAAAGTATAATGTTTACCAACTAGAACCTAATCGAGGAATGTATGTCATTTACATTTTATATAAAAAATATTTAACTTGATGAAAACTTATAGCTGAAGATTACCGATGGTTTATAGAGCAGAAAATTCAGCTAACAGTGGACGACTATTTTTGCTATTCCTAGCTGATGGATGCATCTTATTAAGTCCCAATTAGATTCTGAACTCACATGACTTATGCATATAGAAAATAGCCATAGAAAATGACTCATTGAACTGTTCTAGGTTCATCTCAAAATGCTTTCAGGAGATAAACCCTGAATACTTGACTCAAGTTAAATACTGATATGCACACAATTGTGGCTTTTTTCTACTTCACACTGTTGCAGTTGTTTGTTTCTCTTTGTGTCGTTATCATTTACATGATCAAATTTTTATCATTAAATCCTGAAATGTCTTCTCAAGTGTATCACTTCCACATAAGAGACGAGGGATTAACTTGCTATCTTGCTAGGATTTCAAATGATGTACTTCATATGTCTAAACACATGGTAACTTATGTTGAACCATTCAGGACTGCATATGATGTGAGTCTGAATGATGATAGTTGGTCCCAAGATATGTTTAATCTCGTCTCTGACAGCACATCAAAGACATGGGAAAGGCTTGATGCGTGAGTATTTTTTCCTCCTATAACTTCTGCATGACAAAACTATTAGTTTTCGCAATTAACATAATTTGTGTCTTTCAGTGGTTCCTCTGCTTCTCACTCCTTTATCTTGGAGTCTAAAACAAAAGGCATGTTCCATGGTTCTCCCGCTGTCATCAAATTCCGTATCCCCTCAAAGGCTGCACTGCAGGTCTGGTCTTTATCTTGCTCGTAAAAGCATGTAAATAAAATTTGGAGAGATACATTTTTGAGTTTATGATGCGTGCCATTTTGGCTTCCAATCATTAATGTTGGCCATGAAGGAAGACCTTGGTGTTTCATTTCCCTGAGTTACTGCTTGAGAAATCTGCGAGAGAATATCAGTGTAAATTATGATTAGTCTCCTTAGCCCATTCTAGGTATTGCTGGAATGCATAATGATTTTTCATGGAATCTATTCAGAAACCTTTCTCAGATATTTTGCTGCAGAAACCGTAGAAATTCTAAATTAATTTTTGGTATATAACGACCCATACATATATTCTGAACTTTTGGTTGATGTGCACAGTGATTTATTATTGTTGCTGAATGTTGTGGCTTAAAATTCATGTCTCCCTTTCGTAGGAAGCGTATTCTACTCCCATTTTGCCATTAGATGTTCTTGCTGACAAGCCTCCTGAAAAGAAGTTAGAATGGGTGAGTTATCCACATACCACTATTCATCCGTTGTACGCTGGTTGTTTCCTTTGTCTTATCACTTACTAATGTTCGGTTGCAACTTTCATGTGATGTCTCCTACTTTAAAAACCGTCATGCTATGATCCAACCTGGTGCAGGCAAAGGTAAGTCTCCTTGCTGTATGTTCATTATAGTAGCAGAGCTTATGATCCATGAGCTTCTCTACCTAAAAGCAACCATTGTTATTGCAGAGGCTGTTGGCAAAGTATGGATCTCTGGTGTCGGTTCTGACACTGGTCGGACTGTTCATCTATGTGATTGCAACTCCATCGAAGATGACGAGCAAGAAGAGGCGGTAAATTGCAGTATCTGGTGGATGTTTGCTTGATTTTTCTTTGAAGATACCCTGGAGGACTGTAAGCTGAGTTTTGCTTCGTCATGCTTAAAACATAACCTTGTGCCGTCGCTAGGACTGGTAGAGGCTTCAAGGGTTTAACCTTTGTCCTTGGCTGATATTTGTAGCGTTCCTAAATCCACTAGAATTTGAATTTGGATGAAACGTATGCATCGAAACTTCCCACAGGCATCTGTCTAAAGCCATCCAGATCTGAGGGGCGTGGCTCTGCTGTCCTGGCTCAGTTTGTCGCAGGACACGGTAACCTGTTGTTGGCCGAGGCTGCAGGGGCCCAAGCTCGCGAAGGTGGACCCCGCTGGAACCACCACTGTCCGGCTGCCGCGTCTGAGCACAACCCAGCTGTCTGGAAATGGACGCGTGAGGCCATCGCCTGGTGGCTGTACTTAAAGGTGTTCGATGGTCATCCTCAGGTAATCGCAGAGCATCCAAAAAATAGTACTGCCGCTGTCGAGGTCTGCTGTTTTCCCCCCTTCCCTATTCCTTGGTTTGAAATTTCTTGGCATGCTTTGCTTTTATCAGTGGATTAAGGATTTCATGCACCTGCAATAGGGTACTCGATCTCATGATGCTGAAGGAAGAAAAATGAACGTGAGATGGCTTTTGTCTAAATTACTGGTTCGTAGAGGGTTTCTGTGTGCACCCGACTGTGTTTGCGGTGGGCAGGGTGGGGTTCCACCGGTCGCTTTCGCGGCAGCCGTTGGATCGGGTGGTCCCGTTGCCACCTCACCGGCTCCCTGCCCGAATCTTAGATGGCCCCACGACGCTCGTCGAATCTTAGCTGTACCATCACATGTGTATTTTGTTTAAGATTAAGGGTTCATTTCCGGCGTTTCAATCGTTATCCTTTGTTTGTTTTGGTTTTCGGCAAAAGAGTAAATGATGAGAAGGGGTGGATGAGTTTTTTGAATTTTTTAAATTATTAAAATTTAATTTAGTGCATCATCATCATCATATCGATTTTTAATAAATAATTTTGGTATAAGAATATATCGGACAACAAACTATGTCATCAGTCTATAAGCGACATCTTTTATAAATATATGTTTTAGAGGAAATACTTTGTACTCCAATGTTATCGACAATAGAATTTTCTTCTCAAATCTCTCCTTTTTTTTTTTATTCTCATAAAAAGAATGCATCTACGGAGAATAGTATTTTTTTTTAGTATGGGATAGGTGTCGTATGGTTCATGCATTGCTGAACGAGTGATAGGTGTCGTATGGGATTACTCTTTTAGTATATATATATTTTAAGAGTTGCAATTACCACACTCATATTCTCTATCGAGATTCCTCGCTGTAGCATCACAATAAACCGGGAAGAATCCGATGAGATGGAAATGAGATCTACCATTGCTTCCAGTGTTTCGCCCTCGAGAGATGGCTGGTGTCAACTGGAAACTGGAGACGCGCACAGTGGGTCGCGAGCTTCTGCATACGATGACGCGATCGACACAGCTTTGTCCTACTAATTAGCCTGTCTTCACCTCATCATAACCTTTCTCATGCACAGGAGTGCAATGCCACCCTACCACATGACATGTTTAGGTTTCTTCATGTACTGGTGCTGTGTGATTGGATGTCGGACCGTCATCACCCAGTGGGAATCACAACCTCTGCTCCCCTATGAAATCAGTACATGGTTGCAGTAGTCCGAACCTTTAAGCTTCTTTGATCAGAAAATGATGTATGTTTCTGCAACTGCGAGTTGTGTGCTGTGGGTGGAACCGGAAGAAAGAAAGCTCAAGGCCAAGCAAGCGAAAGGTGGTCAACAGTGTGGCAAGTCTTCTCCCTCTCGACGTAAAGCTATCTCACTTCCCCCACTCGGTACTTGAGGGAGCTGAGGTAGGGCCTGCGTTCCCTGAGGGAAGAAAGGAGCCAGTAGAGACTTAGGATTGCATCATTTGGCTATGATTCCAGCCACAGTCGTTTCACCAAAGTAAACAGTAGAAAGAGCCACCGAGCATCCCTCGGGTAGAGGGCATCACCCCCAAGTCACAACAGCAAAAAGATGATAGGGCTGTGTAGGAGATTAATGGGGTCTCAGCAATGAGGAAAGTTGATGCAGCAGTAGCTGCTGCTGCTGCTACTGTCTTGCTTCCATCAAAAGTTCTGTCTTCGGTTCTGGCCTCAAATAAAGGGGTGGGGACTTCCCCTACCCAAGGCAAAAGGAGAGCTGAGGGTTGTGCCACTGTTGGTGGTATTCGTGTCAGTCTGTGTGTTTGTGTGTGTGTGTGTGTGTGTCTCTCTCTCTCTCTCTCCCTCCCTCCCCCTCATACCCCCACCCACAGTGGCGTAGACCGTGATCTGGTCTGTTGCATTCAATGCCTCTCCTCTCTGCGCAGATTCCTTGCTGCCAAACCGAGGAAAGGTCCCTTTGTCTGAAGCACTCATCTCTCTCCCTTCACGCCTTATTATTTACCTCCTCTCCATCTCTTCTTTTATGATACAATTCTTTCATGTTCATCAAGGGCTTCTCCTTGTGGCTGAAGAAAGCAGCAAGGAGCCCAATGTAAGTAACAATACGATAGTAACGGATGGTTTCACTCCTCAGACTCCCTTTGTTTGGCATGAGGCAATCCAGAGTAGAACTACAAGATAAAGGAAAAGGAATATTTTGGTACTTGGGTGGGTCCGGTGTCGAATCTGCGTTGTCTGCAGACCTCAAGCAAGCGGTCGACGAGAGGCAATTAATGCACAATGATCAACAATCCAAGAACTGGAGAAGGTTTTATACTACATGATGATGATGATGCAGTATACAGATTTGATTAGAAATGGATGCAATCACTCTCAGCGGCAGAGGCAGGCCATAGTATGGATTGTGGATTGGTACGACGTGGAGAAACAAAGATGGAAAGAGACAGAAGAAGACGAATCATATCCATCATGCAGAGATCGCATCGCTGCTCCTTGGACGAAGACGGAAGCATCCTGAGAGGAATCCCGAAAAGAATGAAACAGAGGACGCAGTAGGTGGATGTGATAACGAATGCAGGAGAAGCAAAGCATGGAAAGAGGAGGCGAGCCGCGAATCGAAGGCACGTTGTTTGTCATTCTTTGAATAGAAGAGGAATTCACACTGATTCGCGTCGAACGGAAGCGAAAAAATTGGAACTTTGTGCTAAAACTTCGATCTTTTTCTCACTGAAGTGCTCCAACATATAAGAACAAGATCGAAGTTTCAAACGCAGCCGTTGCGGCCGAGGTGGAGGAGGCTGCCGCCGCACTTGGGGCAGGCGTCCACGCGCTTGGGGACCATGAAGTACATGAAGCAGGCCTTGCAGCCAGCGGCGACGAGGATTTGGCCGCCGGGCTCCTCGTTGGCGGAGGACTCCGGTGGGGAAGTGCAGGAGAGGGTGGAGGAGTCAGCGGTGTCGCCGTCATCCTCCTCCTCCTCCTCGTAGTCGACGTCCTCGCTGCCGACACGGGAGCAGCTGTACTCATCGGATGTCCCGTCTCCGTCGCAGTAGTAGCTCGAAGAGTAGGCTGAGGAAGAGGCAGCGGCGGTGCGAGGGTCCTCGCCGGTCCTGACGCCGGTCTCCCGGTTGATGTAGTAGATTTCTCCCGTCTGCAAAACCGAAAGGAGGAGTTGGAATAGGAGAGATCTACCAGTAGGAAAAGTTAGCTGAAAAGTTCATCTTACAGATGTAAAAAATCGAATCTTTGGCACTGTTTTGCGAAGAAATGTAGAACAAAACTGCACAGAAGAGGAATCTACAAGACAACCAAGGAAAGTAGTGACAAGATAAGCACCAAAAGGCACAGAGAAAGAGAACAGCAGACAGAGAGATCGATAGATCTCTCTTTCCACTTCGTTTCCGCTCTTTAGCTCTTTGCATCAAAAGATCAGAAACAAGTTCTCCCTCCCTCCCTCGGGAATCTCTTCTGTTTTGCCCGACTATTTTGAAGCGAGAGAGAGAGAGAGAGAGAGAGAGAGAGAGAGATGGGCGCGGCGCGGAAAGGAAGGATTTTGACGGCCGAATCGGTCCCAAAACCGCATTTTTGAGGCTAGGGTTGGGCATTTATGATCAATGATTGGCGATAGGGAGAGGCGCATTTAAGGAGGGGAGGACGGGAGGGAGATCGCACCCGCATGTCAAGGCACTGCTCCCAGTGGTACGGGAGGGCGGTGTCGGAGTTCAGCTCCACCGTGATTCCCCCAGCGCTCTCGTCGGTCGCCTCGGCGAGGTGCGGCGGCGGCGGCCGCGGCGGCGACTGGTCCCCTCCTCCGCCTCCCCCCAACGAGCAGCTCCTCAACGAGGCGGCGATCATCTCGAT